TCATCATTCCAAATTTGACCCTAAGGCCTCCAAATGCATTTTTCTCGGTTATGCACAAACTCAAAAGGGTTATTGCTGCTATGATCCTGTTTCAGGGAGGAGATTTGTCTCGAYRGATGTCACCTTCTTTGAGGAGGCACCCTATTATCCTAGGGTTTCTCCTCAGGGGGAGAGTAGTGAGAATTTGGGTCTTTTTCCTCAGGGAGAGCGCAGTGAGAGTGGGGTTAACTCATCTGAGGTTGTTCCTTTACCCATTCCATTGAGTGATAAAGGCTGTAATGGTGAGGGTTGTCAGAGGGATCAGGAGTTGAAAGTCTATCACAGGCAATGCAGGCAAGTTGATCTTGGTCATCAGCAGTCCAGGCCAGCCCCAGTTCCTTCTACAGATCCTGATCTAGGTACTACAGTCCCAAGGCCCACTGAGATACCTTCCACTGTTGCTACTTCCCCTCCTTCAGATGACCTTGACCTCCCTATTGCGGTTCGTAAAGGGAAACGGCGTTGCACCACATCCACAGYTCACTGCATTTCCTAGTTTCTATCCTATGATCGCTTGTCTCCCTCTTACAGGTCCTTTTCACTTCCATTGTTGATATTCCTATCCCCAGAATAGTGCAAGAAGCCTTATCAGTTCCAGAGTGGAAAGATGCAATGAAAGTTGAAATGGATGCTCTTTTGAAAAATAATACTTGAGAGCTAGTTGACCTACCCAAAGGAAAGAAACCAGTTGGATGTAGATGGGTATTTACTATGAAACATGATGCTGATGGCTCCATTGAAAGGTACAAAGCCCGGTTGGTTGCAAAAGGTTTTATTCAGACTTATGGTATAGACTACTTGGAGACTTTTGCTCCAATAGCCAAGATGACCACTATTCGAGTTCTATTAGCCCTTGCAGCAAGTTACTCTTCGCCCTTGTTCTAGATGGACGTTAAAAATGCCTTTCTGAATGGAGACTTACAGGAAGAGGTCTACATGCAGTTGCCTCCTGGATTCTATGATGCAGAGATAGGTAAGAAGGTTTGCCGACTGAATAAGGCATTGTATGGACTAAAGCAGTCCCCTAGAGCTTGGTTTGATAGATTCAGACTAGCCCTTGGAAAATTCGGCTATGTATAGGCCCAGTCAGATCATACACTGTTCGTTAAAAGAGTGAACTC